GAAGAAGCTTCTATAGCTTATAAAATATATTATTAATTTTACTTTAAGATTAAAGATAACATATTGCTTCATTTGTGAAATGATGAGTTATTATCATAGAAAATCAGATGGCTGGATTGGACCATCTGAGTAGAAATTTTGATATTAACAGGCAATCCCCCAAAATCACAATTCAAAGGAGCACATTCACACATTGTACACACATATGCACACGCTTACTATCTCAATACTATTTTTAGAGAAAATCGTTTTTAAAAAGGGAAAGAGAATAGAGCCACTCCAAGTTTAGCAAACTCAAAAGTAACTGCACGATGAAATACAGTAAATGGTAGTTCTGTTCATATAAAGGTTGTTGTAATCGTTTAAATAGGGATACAGGTGGACCTACTGCAACAATGAGATGTACAAGTCGTTATGTCGAAAAACGAACTTTACAACTTTGGTGGTGGGAGGGGGGAGTGGAGAAGGGGGGAATGGAAGGGGCGGGAAGGGATGGGAAGGGATAGGAAGGGGAAACAAAGGAGGAGGCTACAATGCTTGATAAGAAATGTACTCATTATCTTGCTCGTGTAATTTTAACCCCTCTGTACGGTATTTTCACAATAAAAATTTTTTTAAAAAAGGTTGTTGTATCACTCTCGCTACTCCTTGCTTCAAAAACAATGCACCAAAATAAATGAAAAATGTCTGCTTCTGTCACTCAAATAATCTTTATGAAACACTTTAAATGCAATAAGTTCTTTCATCTACATTATTGTATTTCATTAACAGTCTTGTGAAGTAGAAATCCCCATAGTTTCTACTTTGTAAATTTAAAAAATAGAGTAGTCTTCCAAGCCATTCTTTCTGCTAGGGTGTTCCCTGTCTCATCGGATGGCTGACTCCATTCATGCTCTGAGATGCCACTGCTGGCAATCCATATATAGACTATTTAGCAAATAAAACTTAAAATAATCTGATTCTCCACAAATGTGTGTGTGTGCACGCATGCTCGCATGCACGTGCGCACGCGCGCGCACACATACACACACACACACACACACACACACACCTACACACAATGGAATATGCTGTCTATATTTTCTCTCTAACTTCCCAAAACACTCCTCACAGAGAATTTTAAATGAGAAACCTGGGAGTCATCATCAATACTGGTTTCTGACAGATCCTCCCACATCTAATTAATCACTAGATCAAAACCAATGCTGCCTGGGGCTGGTGGTTCACATCTATAATCTTAGCTACTCAAGAGGCTGAGATCTGAAGATTACAGTTCAAAGCCAGCCCGAGCTGGTTTATCTCCAATTAACCACTCAGAAGATGGAAGCAGAGCTGTGGCTCAAAGTGGAAGAGCACTAGCGCTGAGCAAAAGAACTCAGGGACAGCATCCAGGCACTGAGTTCAACCCCACAAGTGCCAAGAAAAAATTTTAAAAATCAATGCTAATGTTAAAGACTTGTTCTTTTCTTATGTTTTTAAATTCTTTAATATCTGTAACTGTGTAAATTGGATATTTACCTAATCGATATATCTACTAATTAAAGTTCTTGGGAGCCTAAAAATAAAAATCAATGCTGAGCCAACAACGGTGGCTCACACCTGTAATGTTAGCTACACAGGAGGTTGATATGTGAGACTGAAAGCCAGCCTTGGTAGGACAGTCTGGGATATTCTTATCTCCAATTAACCATTCAAAATCCAAAATGGCGCTACAGCTCAAGTGGTAGAGTGCCAGCCTTGTGCAAAAACACTAAGGGAGAGAGCCCAGGCCCTGAGTTCAAGCCCCAGTACTAGCACAGAAAGAAAAAAACACCAATGCTAAGAACTATCTGTTGCTTTTCTCTCATTTCCAGTTCCATTTCCCTAGCATTCATTTGAGAATCAATAATCCTTATCTCTTTCACTCTCATTTCTTCAGTTCCCATTTGACTCACTGCTGACTTTGACTCACTGCTGACTTTCTGAGCTTTTTGAAATTACAAAGCTGTTCATGAAGCACATGCTTAAAATATTTACAAACTCATCATCATCTACAAATGGTAAAAATGCTTTCTCACACATTCATGACTTTATACATCTTCATCACCTATTCCATTTGATAAACATCCACTCAGTCTTCAAAATGACAAACATATACTGGAATCCTTCACTGACTTCACTGAGTCAATGGGGATCTCCTCTGATGTCCTACTTCAATGTATTTGGGTCTAAATGAATACTTACTTAAATACTTGCATCTTCCAGCGAAGAGTGTGAAAGGGTTCCTTAATTTAGGAAACTTTTCTTTATTATCATTTCTATACACATCATATAGCAAGTGTTCAGCTGTTCATTAAATGAGAAGTAATAAGAAATATCACTTACTAAGCATTCATACACATCATACACCATTTTAGGCGGTGTATGAATGTGTCTATTCATATCTGATGGAAGAACCTTTTATTGATATTATTACTTACATCTTATAGGACTGGAATGGAAAAATAACTCAATGTCACAGAGTTAATATGTGACAGAGAAATAAACTAAATGCAATATGATCTTAAAACTTTAATTCTTCATCACTAAACCATAAAGAAATCCAACAAGGCTTTCTTCTTTTTATAGTTTTTTTAAATCATGAATGAATGTGACTTCTGCATGAAAAATGTTCTGATAATAGTCAGGATGCTCTTCCGAACTCTTCCAAAAGAAACTGAATCACCATGCAATAGTTAATGATATTGAAGCAATCACTATTTCAACTTCTTCATTCTTCTCACACATAATTTTACCCAATTACTTTATTTTAATAATTCAATCACTTTCTCCTATTTCATTTGAAATCTTTTATCTTCTCTTTGAAAACTAACTTAAATGCACTCAGACTTTTGGATACAGTAACTCTTCCAGGAACAATTATTTTGTGTTGGGGAAATGTACACAATTGTGAGTAAGTCTTAATTAATTCTTTGGCCATCCTCGAGCCACGCTCTTTCAAGATCATCATCATATATTAGTAGCTTCAAGAAATTGTCAGGGGCCTATTATAAACCCAAGCATTCAGGTAACTTAATAACTATTAAATACTAGCAACAATACATGAAAATGCTAATGTTTGCATCAGAAATAATAAAATAATTTACCCATAAGTGAAAACTGAAAATGTCAAAAAGACTTATCTTTTCTGTCATGTAAATTCTCTCTCTCTCTCTCTCTCTCTCTCTCTCTCACACACACACACACACACACACACACACACACCTTTAAAAAAAAACTCAGAGCTTTATACTTGGTAGGCAAGTACTCTACCACTAAAGCATGTCTCAAGCCTTTATTTTCTTTTATTATTTTGTTTTTATTGTAAAAAAAACTGTGCAGAGGGGTTACAGTTACATGAGTAAGGTAATGAGTACGTTTCTTATTGAGCATTGTTACCCCCTCCTTTGGTTTTCCCCTACCATCCTTTCCTCCCTTCCACCCCCCACACCCCCCTCCCCACAAGTTGTAACATTCATTTTCAACATAGTGTCTTGTACATCTCATTGTTACAATGGGTCAACCTGTATCCTTATTTAAGCATTTTGTTATAACCCTTCCCCTCCCCAAATGCTTTTTTAAAGCATAATTTTAATTACATGAAGCTAACACTTTCTATTTAGTATCTATTTGATATTAGTAAATTATTCTTATGTTATCTTATGCTGACCCAGAGAATAATTTCTTCTCTAAAATTACATTTTAAAATGCAACATTTAAGATACTAACAAATTTACTGGATTTATATAGATAAATTAGTAGAAAAAACAATGTACAACTAAACACTTGAATAAAATTTTTAAACACATAGTTCCATACTACCTACATCAGGAAGAACTTTGAAACTAAAATTTCTCACTTGTATCTGTTCAAATAGACTACAGGAAAAAATTTTCTATATTGTCACATCAAAAGATTTGTTTTTTGGTTCTATTTTGGAGTTATTTTTGGTTAAGCAATAGCTTTATTTGGTTTAATTTGCAATGTATTCTTTTTAATTTAATTTTATTGTCAAGGTGATGTGCAGAGGGGTTACAGTTATATACATAAGGTAGTGAATACATTTTTTGTCGAACATTGTTTTATTTTTTATTGTGAACATACTGTACAGAGGGGTTACAATTACATGGGCAAGATAATGAGTACATTTCTTATCAAGCATTGTAGCCTCCTCCTTTGGAACATTGTTTTAATGTGAGAAAGGATGTTATATCTGTAAAGAAGCAATAAATTGGCGCCACCTAGTGGAATTTTACTGTTTTCTTAATGACACAAAATAAATTGCAAATATTTTATATTACCAATCTAAACGTTGCAGTAGCAACAAGTGTCAGTCATGAGTCCTCTTATAGAGTTCATTAACATTATAAAAGATACTATAATAATTTTATCAGAAGTGTTTGTCTTTAAGTTCTAAGGAATAAACTGAAATGTAGCTACATTTTTAAGAATGGAATGTGTGTATATATATATATGTATATAGGCTTATTCTAATAACCTATTGAAGATAAGAATTCTATCACACTACAAAATTCCACCATCGAAATTCTACAGTCAGACTACACTCAGAATACTATTCTTAGTTTTAGATACCCTATGTAAAAACAAGAAAGATTCACAAATTGAAGAAGGCTTTATGTGTCTTCAAAAGAAAATGCATGATCTTGAATGTACATAAAAAGATATTGAAAGGAATTACAGGGAAGGGAGAACAAAAGGGAGGCAGAGGAAGAGAAATTTAGGTGAGATTAAGAAGAGCATCTTAAGAAAGAAGAGTAATTTACTACTGAAACAACAAAACTTCAGAGGGCTGTTGTGAGTTCCTTATGACAGGAAGTGTTCAAAATGACACAAGGATCACTTCTGCAATACTTGCTGAGTGGCCCAGCCACCAGACTAAGTAAATCTTAAGGAACTTTATTGTAATCAACTCAATGATGTTAGGATCTGGAAAAATTAAAAATAGCTACTTTTCAACTTACCCTTTTTTTCTCCTGCAATGGTATTAAGTCAAAAAATCGTGGGAGAAATGAGGCACAACTTTCTTGGTGATCTTTCTTCACATTAACATTTTCATAATGGAGTGTCTTTTCCCTTTGGAAAATGCAGACAGAAATGGAAATTTCTGAATTTTGCATATGTCAATATTTGCTTAAGCAAGAAGAACATTTATAGCAACATTTCCTGCCTTAGAAGTACGTAATAGTAATCTAATGGTAGACTAATATATTCAAATTTTTATAAAAATGCATTTCTTATTTTAACTACTTGTTCTTTTTCCAGTTCACAGCATTATTATGAAACTGTTTGAACAATGATTCCAAAACCAAAAGAAAATGTGACACATCATGAATTGACCCTAAAAGCTAACAAAAGATTTCTGTGTACTTTACTCACCAAAGAAAGTCTATATAGGCTATTTTAACTCTGCTGATTTCCCCTGTGGACATTTTTAATTGTTATAAAGGTAATATACAGAGGGGTTACAGTAACATAAGAGCCTTTTTAAAAAAGAAAATGTCATTCCTTCCTTTGCATTCTCTCAGTGGGTGACAGGATTTTTTAGTATTTACTCCTACCATTGTATTATTCTGAACATGCTATTTATCCTTTCTGATCCTAGAATTTTTCACTGATATTATAGCTAAAACAATATAATTACACAAAGACTTATTGTAAGCGTTAACTGAGGAATACATATACAATGGGTGGCACAGAATCTGGCTCATAAAGACAACAATATCAGTCAAAAGGGTTGCTCTAGAACATAATACATCTTGGAGGTTTTCATACTAATTTTCCTTTCCTAACTGAATAGTCTAGGCTGTATTAATAAAATGCTATACTATATAGTAAGAACTATCTTAAAGCTACGCATTTTTTATTGTTATCATTACTTACTGGACTATATCATACTGTCCAGGTCCAGGACCTGGCTGTATAGGTAAAAACTGTCTACTTCTTGAAGAAGTCCCAAAATGTGTACCTTTGTATTTTAGAGACGCTCTGGGTGCATCCTTAAACAAAAAAGGAAAGATGAAGCGTAAGTTCATTAAGTTATAAAAACAATGTCTTAAGTCTAAAGCTAAAGGATGGATAAATATGGATTCACGGGTACCACTAGTGAATGCTTTGTTCATTGACAGATCCACAAATAAATATAAGAACCCTAAAATGTTATAGCACTTTGCTAAGCTAAAATAGTGAAGAGTAACACTATAAAAACAATAGTTTCTCTTGAAAGAATTGTATTAACCCAAATCTTTCTTAATTAAGCAATTATTTAAAAACTCTTTTATTGAAAAAATAAGTTTAATTAATGGTAGAAAATAAACTACATCGTAATTTTAATTCATTTGAAAGACTATGTTTATAAATTATATTGTAAAATAAGTTTTATTAAAACATTTACTATACATTGAATAAAATCCCCCTAACATAAACATATATAGTTTAACTATATAAAAAAATGTAGCAAGTGTTCTTTGGAGCTATTACTATTTAAGAGCTGTGTAACTGAACATCATTCCAATCAAGTGAATACAATAAATAGCAATGTTAGTAACAAAAGTATTTCAGTTCAAACCCATACCTGCCACTGCCTCACCCAAACATTTCAAAGGAAGGATATAAAATAACCAAAATTATCAGCGTCAGAAACTAGAAGGAATCATTTACGTGCCAAAGACTAACAAATTTAATAAGACATAGCACAGCAGACTAGAAGTGGAAAAGGCTCCTGTACCAGGAGAAAAGCACTATCACTGGAAGTTTTTAACATCCCGGGGAAGACAAGAATAACTGGAGATCAGTATGATTCTTCAGTACTGAGGAGGCAGTGATTTCTACTCAGATAGGAACCCCTCCTAAATGTTTTGAGATGCCATAATAAAATCCAAAAGGAAGCTAGTAAAGCACAGAGAAGTCATCACAGGTAGGACTGTTCGGGGATGCTTTGGAATAAAGCAAACCAATCAGAAGATAGCTGTGAAAACTACTTCTATGGGAAGCAGCTGATTATGACAACCCTTATTTGGTGTCACAAGAGGGGTAATAACAAACACTGTGGATTTTCTGTGGAACAAACTTTCCTAGTAGATTGTTCCCACTGGATTTATACTTCTATCTAGTGACATGCAAAGCAGCTATCATGAAGAGTCTAAGAGAACTGTTTTGTTGAAAGCCTGGATAAAAGCTGGGACTGCTTTCACTGCCTTGTAATAGAGCATAATGGTTTGCTGTGCGGTAGAGAACACTGGCGGACATAAATGCCCAGCAGAAAGCACCATCTGGCAAGCGGTGCCTGGCCCAGCAGCAGCCATACTCCAAGGAAACAGACTTGTCCAGAGCATGGATGACACAGGCCCTCGGGACTTCTAGAAATACCTGGCAGAGAAAATTCTGGAGAAGATGTGAGGTCTTCTACCTGAATAGGCAAAGACAAGTGATACTGATATTTCAGCTTTTAACATCATTTATTGTTATAATTGCCTTTCGTGCCTGTAATGTAATTAAAACCCAGGCAACGTTGTGTTATACAAATAGAAAGGATTGATCTTCATTATCTTCTAGATATTTTTCCAGCATTGGACATGGTTTCAATGCACTTGGGTTGTTGATCTCTATTGATCCCTTCTAATGAATTAACACAAAGAACAGACTATTATGTCCCTCTCCTCGTTATAAACATTCAGCTTGTTTCAGTCTTACAAAGCAATGTATCAAAGGAATTACTGTTACATGTTATCACATAGGAAGGTTAGTGATACATGATTCTGAAGTCCAGCACATTATCAGACTAAGAATAAAAACTAAAATAAGCTTTCTGAAATTAAAATAAGCTGTTCTGTAACACATAAGGAGAGCAATACACACACACACACACACACACACACACACACACACACACACACACACACACACCTCTTTGGGACTCCTAAGTATAACACAAAGGAAAATAACACAGACCCTCCAAAAGTTTTGTGTCTGGGAGTTGGGAGACAAATGCTATAACACCAATACCATAGACAAGTGGCACTGCCCGACATGTCCAGCAGAGCAGCAGATGCTATTAGAGAAGTAGTGGAACAAACCCAAGCCACACTGGCATGACTGAAAAGTAGCTTGTTCTGAAAAAGTCAGTGTACCTCCATATACCACATCCAACAGGGCTTAGGACAAGAGATGGCCCCTCACCAACAATCCCTCCTTTTGCTAAGTGTCATGGGTTTTAAAATACATGGACAATTTCAATGGTAGAAAGAACAAAGATTCCTATGAATGCTATACTTTACTTTTGCTTAAAAATAAAGCTAAATTTGGCAAATTTACAGATTTTTTACTATATATTGTTCTACAATATAGCCTTGCTGAATATGTTCGATAGTTTATGTACTGCAAACAAGAACGTATCTAATATAATTACCATAGCTTATGTCACAAATCAATATTTTAAAAGAGTACCTTATGCTAGATGGGAAGAAAATGATGGAAGGAGTAACACTGATCACGATGCACTGTACTTTTAAATTGACATGTTGAATTAAAACCCCTTTGTACAACTACTTAAAGATAATCACAGAAAGTGAAACTCAATAGAGTATATCTTGTGTCACTTTTTTTTGAGGTGGGGGGGAGCTTGAACTCTTGAGCCTGGGTGCTGTCCCTCAGCTCTTCAGCTCTAGGCAAGTGCTCTATCACTTGAGCCACAGTGCCACTTCCAGTTTTCTGGTGGTTAATTGGAGATAAGAGTCTCACAGACTTTCCTGCCTGGGTCCTCAGATTTCAACCTCCTGAGTAGCTAGGATTATAGGCATGAACCACTGGTGCCCAACTTTGTGTCACAGTTTTGGGACTTAAAAAATGTCATGCCCAGCTTGTTTCAATGGTAGGGATTGAGCCTAGGCTCTTGTGGATATTAGGCAACTGCTCTGTCACCAAGCTATCCCCTTAAATACATGTGAAGCGTTTATGCTGGAGTGTGCATGTGTGCGTCCCCTCGTGTGGCTTACGTGCTAGTACTGGGGCTTGAATTCAGGATCTAGAGTTCTCACTCCACTTTTTCTGCTCATAGTTAGAGCTCTACCTACTTGAGTCATAGCTCATGTGGGCTGCTCGCTAGTTCAGTGGACACCATAGAGTCTTGGATTTGTCTTCCTAGACTGGCTTCAAACCATATCTCATCCTACTGAGTAGCTAGGATTACTGGTGCAAGATTGCTGCCTAACTATAATAACTATGTTAACACAGAGATTCAGGATCTTGCTTTCCTCAGATGACTTCACATTACTGCGATTTTTATGGTTCAACTATTAAACGATTCAAAAATGTAATCAAGTAAAAGTAAAAAGTGCATGTGTGCATGGACACAAAAAATTCAAAACCTTAACAAAACCCTTTTCCAGATTATACAATAAAATTTATTTCATTTATTTAATATGTGAGCAACAATTGCTTGATGACTTCTGTAGCATTCAGATGAATGTCCAATATGAAATTAAATTTATCTCTTAAAAGAATAGAAAGAAAACAGAGAATAAATTAATGCACTAAACTTTAGATCACATTTGCTTTTACCTCAAAAGTATTGACAGTACCAACTTCAAGGTCACTGTCAACTTGGAAAGTTATTAGCAAATAAAATATGACTTAATTGAAGCATAACCAGCATGAAGCTACCTCATTTTAAGTGAATGCTGTAATAAAATTTAAAGAAGAATTATGAACTGCCACTCTCATTGACACTTAAATGAATGAAGAAGAGACTAGGCAACTTTTACCCCACATTGTTCCATAATTAAATATGGAAGTGGAATTTGTGAAGAATTAACAGCCCACAGTGCATCCATTTCAACAGTAACGGGCTGCTTTCCAGTGTGACGGTACACAGGTAGCTTCCCACATGTCATCAAAGAGCATAGTGTCATCATTCCAATCCAAATTTTAATGTGAAGCCCATTTTTGAAAATACATGTATTTCTGACAGTTACTTGGGCTCTTCTAAAGCATGGAGAAGGTAAGTTTTATCTTTCAAAATGTTATACAAATTAATTTATATAGTGAATTTCTCTTTGCAGATTAAATTAGCTAACGTATATCAGTTGCTAGTCTCAGTCCTATATAGCTTGAGTCTATGTGTGAACTTTTTCAGATATCTTCAGTAGATGTGACTTGACAGTTTAAGAAGAACCCCAATAACTACCCATCTGTTGCTTTCCTACTCTTCTACTGATATTCACACCAAAAAGTTGAGCCCACACACAGTATTGTCTTACTAAGCAGCTAAAGAGCTACAAAGAATTACCTGAGCCAGGCACCAATGTCTCACACCTATAATTCTAGCTACTCACGAGGCTAAGATCTGTGGATTGTGGTTCCAAGCCAGCCCAGGCAGTAAAGTCCATGAGACTCTTATCTCCAATTAATCACAGAAAAAGCCTGAAGTGGTGCTGTGGCTCAAGTGGTAGAGAGCTAGCCTTGAGTAAAAAGGAGCTCAGGGAAAACGCCCAGGCCCAGACAGAGTTCAAGCCCCAGGACTGGTGTAAAAAAAATTATCCGAAATTTGAGTAGTATTAGATTGAATGTTATTACAGAATGAGCACAGTAGCCTGTGAAGAATCCACCCTTCTTTGGGAGAAACAGAAGTAAATAATGCTTTCAGTTACTAAGCTTTGCCACTCAATCTCAAGCTCTCAATTTCAAGATGAGAATTTCACAAAAAGAAAATAAAAGGAAAAGAAAAGAAAAATCACAACTCAATTCCAATTAAACTTCACTGAATCTTTTTGAATACTAAGAACTATGCCTTTAATTTATATGTAAATCTGTGTTTTTACATAACTTGTTTTCATAAATTACATTTAGATTTTTATTCTACTGAGTACAAGCTGAACTGACTCAGTAATTACTAAGACAGGTTATCAAATAAATTGAACCTATTGTGAAATGAATTTTCTTCCTTTTCTCTATCTTCTATGAATAATTTATCCAGAAAGAAATAAACTTTACATGTCAAAGTAATGCTTATTCATGTGAGAAAAAGACTTTATACATCGAGGAAAGCTTGGAGGCATTATTCTAGACTTAAGATAGATGATACATTTTTCCAAAACAAAAAAAGAGTCCACATTAAAAAGACTATTTTAAATCAAGAATTATACTTTGAGATTTAAGAATCAAGAAATTACTTATATTAATACCAAGGATCTATAACTATTGTGAAAAAATAAATATTAATTCCACTATTTTAGAGTATAGCTTTTCCCCAGGGTATTTTCAGATAAGACTCTAAGCACCAAAAGGTTAAATAATTTGAAAGTAACTATTAAGTAATAGAATCAGAAAACAAACCTAGGCACTCTAGCTCCATATACTGAACCTCCTATTTTGTTTTTCACCTTGCAGAGAATATACTGGTATCAGACCATACACAGGTCATCATAATTTTTTACAAAATTGACCTCTGCTCTTACGTTAAGGTATCTTAAATGCCTAAGTAATGTGCCTCTGTTGATGAAGACTAATTATTAGCTGGCTATTAAGATATGTTAGGATAAACATGGCATGAAAACCAGGCATGGAATAGAGAAGAGCAAAATCCTCTTGAGACAGAAATCTTCCTGGCCAGACAAAAATAGACATTTTCAGAGAGAAAACCGAATACACATACTCTTTAAAGAGACAACAGAAAATGTAATATTTTTTATCAAAGTTATTGACATTTTTAGACATTATTTCTTGAAATGTTCTCTACTACCCCTTCCCTCTTGCCTCTCCTTCTGGGTTTGTCATTATGCATGGGTTGGTAAGTTTGACAGTCTCTCTCAGGTCTCTGAAACTATGCAAAGACTAGAAATGAAACCCAACCCTCTGGGTGCTAAAAAAAAATGTGGGGAAGAAAAACTAAAATAATTTACAATAACAAATGAAAATATTACTAGAGGAATCCAATAATACATTTGAATTGCAGAAGAAAGTATCAGTGAACTTGAAGATAAGTCAATTATTATTTCAATCTGATGAAACTGGGTATCCATTTTGTCTTAAAAATAACCCTCCAAAAATATTTATAAATTAAAAAGATAGAAAATTTAAAAGAACTTAAAACTGAAAATACCATTCATAATAACCATCACCAACTATGGGACAGACAGACACTATCAGTACTCCTATCAAAATATATAAGGAAAACAGACATAAGTGTGTCTTGCAAGTGTCTAGGGTGAAAAAGCATAGGACAAATGAAGAAAAGTTCCAAATTAAAGGAATCTAAACACATGACAACCAAACATGACTGGTAGTACAATTGGACTCCAAACCAAAACCTTTTTTTTCTATATAATATATAATTGACATAATTAAGAGAAATATTCTAAGAGATCTGTTGACTCGACAATGACATCGTATGTATGGAATTTCCTATAATAATTGCATTGTGGTCATAAAAGAGAAAGTCTTACACTGAAGTCTATAGGGGATAATGAGGCTTCGTAGCCAAAATACATTTGAATACATTCGTATTCAAAATACATGTATTTTGAAATAGTTTAGCAAATAATATAAGTATATTAATAAAGTATATTAATAAAGAAAATAATAAAATGTTAATAATTATAGTAAACTAGTGTGACTGACACATGGATATTATTTTTATTATTACAACTTTTCCATGAATCTTATGCAATTTCAAAACTTGATATTTTACTTTATATATACAAGTGAAAATGGTACAATGGGGTCTGTTGAAATTGGTTTGGGAAGAGGGGAGACAGGATGACAGAGAGTGACAGAAAGCTGACTAGAGGAACACTGTATATATACAGAGACATCCAAATGAAATCCATCTCCCTTGGTGCTAATAAAACACAAGGGAACTAAAATGAAATAACTTTTTTAAAGAAACATATAAGTGGAAAAAATATATGAATTTGGTCTAATACATTCATGAGGTTAAATCTGGAAAACTAAACTCTAAATGAAAAAGAAATCATCATATATAGATAACATTTATTTAAATGTTTTTAAAAAGTAGGAATTAGCCAGGCACCAGTGGCTCATACTGTAATCATCAGGGGGTCTAAGATCTGAGAATGGCAATTTGGAGCAAGCCCAGGCAGAAAAGTCCATGAGACTCTTACCTCCAATAAACTACCCCCAAAAAAGCTGTGGCTCAAGTGGTAGAGAGATAGCCTTGAGCAAAAAAGCTCAGGGGTGGGGGCATCCAGTCCCTGAGTTCAAGCCCCAGGACTGACAAAGAAAAAAGAAAAACAGAGCAGATGTTAATATTTGTATGAGAATAGTAATAAAACCAGCATAATAAAAATTTAGAGAGAAGTTGAAGTAATAACTAGTAACATATTTAAAACATTTTAAAATACAGCTACAAATTGTTGCATAGGTTTTATATGTACATTCATATATGCATATGTATGTATACTTTGTATATATGTATGTATGTGTGTGTGTGTGTATATATATATATATATATGCATATGTATATGTATATATGGGTGATCGGTCCATGGATATCCATTATATTTTACACTATGTATTCAATTAAATTATATATATAAAACAATAAAAATATTTTAGGAAAAATATGCTATTAATTCAATTTTAGATGAAAAGCTCTAAAAACTCCCCATGTTACCAATTGCCACAAACCAAATGGCTTCTAATGGCTTGAGCTTAAGTCCAAAGACAAAGAGTCCTATGAATAAATAACTAAAGTTGCACTAGCAATGAAGATCAAGCTAAATCCTGACAATGTACTTACCAGTGATGTCTCCTTAGAATTTCCTCAACTCTATGCTTAATTGTTGCCATTTATTTTTACCAGGATTGCTTCTTCCAGATCTCATAAAAGTATTTTAAAAAATCTACTGCATGAAGCCACTGAAATTTGGAAGTCTATTTGTTATTGCCGTTAGTATTACATGAATTAAAACACAGTCGTAAGTAATCTTCCACCTGTCATCATAAAATGCACTATACTTACAAATTGAGGTTTGTAGTAGGCAGGACCTAGTGTGCTATCATTATAGGGTGCAGAGAGCCTCTTGACAATGCCATCATCATTAATTTCATAGCCATGTGACTGTCTATAGGAAGGAATTGAAGGGATGTCGAGACTTCTGTTAACTGCAGGGGGTCTTGAACTTTTCTTCAAAGATAAAATATTTTACAAAGATGAAAAAATATTTTGTTATTTATTCAAAGGTAAAAGGAAAGAACACAACAATGAAATATCAAATTTGACAACGAATTTTACAACTAAAAGGCAACTACTAAATATTGGCTTAGTAGATTTCATAATATGAACTGAAAATGTATTTTTGTAAATGTAGCTTGAAAGAATGAAGTCACTTTATTTGAATGCTGAAACCAAGGGCACAGGATGACCCATTGCAACAATGCTACTCACAAGACACTATGCTGGAAGCACATAAATATCAAAAAGCAACAGCTGTTTTCTATGTGTCACCACTAATTTCAACTGTATTGTTCCATATTTCATTCATTATTTCTCAGTGAAAAAACATAAACCTCAAGAAGCAATCATTGTCTTCTATGTCGTCAGCATCTAGCATTATGTCCAGCACACATAGTTGCTCAGCATATGCTTGATAAACCTTTCACCTGAGTAAGTGAATATTTACTTTATCCCTACACACAAAACAACTGATGTTTAAATACAGGGTATTAAACTTAACTTCAATGTCACCATACGGAGATTATCCAACTAAGGGCTTAGCACTAAAATATGAATTTCTAAACAGTAAACTGATGAAAATACTTTAATATGGGCTCTGTTATTATAACAAAAGGGAACCACTATAAATAAATATGGCCATGCCCATTAAGTAATATTATTTATTTTGAAGGAGTATGTCAACCATTTTGATTAATCCTCTATAAATTATATCTTTCCATAAAACAGTAGTCCTCTCTAAAATTCTTACAGCATTTAATTACATGCTCATTAATTTATCACCTTTCACATTTTGTCTTGAATAATAAGCTACCGATATGTATCTCCCATCTAAATTTCTGACTTCCTTATTTCAGCTGTCTTATTTCATGGTATTTTGGTCTTATGGTTTGGTTCAATATGGGGGGGGGATTATGTCGGGTTTTTTTGTGGTGCAAGGGTCAACTTCAGAACATCATATATGCCAGGCAAGTGCTCTACTACCTACACCCATAGCCCAGGGAATCACATTTTTAACTTCTCTGTTTTATTACCTACACTTTGAACAGTCTCTAAACTTATGTAGACTATCCTCTATATAGGAAAACCAGTAGTTTTTGAAATCATCCATATATCCTTACATCCTATACACTGTGGACACAGGAAGCGATTATAGATTTACCAAGAACAAAAAGGGAACCTAGGAATACAGCTAAGTCCAACAATTTCTCTATTTGATTTTATCTAAGGAACATGTCATTATAAGCATAATTTAAAATGTCAACATACGAACTGAAGATGCTCTTTAGCTTCTAGTAATTTCTGGTTCATATCTAATGAACCAGGATAACACTGATCATAGCTTGCAGGTCCTGGATTGTCTGAAATAATCTTCTTAAAACGTATTTCTCGGTTTTTCAGACTGTTGCCTCCTTTTATAGTACTCTAAGTTAAACAGAAAAAAATTACAAAATAATTAAAAGAAGTGCTTTATAACTAATTCTTATTTCATAAGTATTCAATATTAATAAAAGTTTTAAACTCCAATGTAAGGAAGGTAAGACCATGAACAGAAAACTGTTCTAGTAAGAGGATGATAAGATGACAATTACAACTTTCCATTTTAGCTTTAAAATTGAACTAAAATTTACTGTAAGTATACGAAAATACCATAAACAGTTTTAAAACAGGAATCTAAGACTGAGGTTCCCAAAGCTATAAAACAAAGGGGTAACTTGCATGTTCTGCAAACCATTGAAAAGTTTACACTTCTAAGGAGATTTTGAAATGCTGGAACTCATATATTCAATGAAAAGGCAAATTTTCCAGCTTGTTTAGTTTTCATAAGTAACACATTACATATTTCCAGGAAGTTTATTTGTGCTTAACAGAAAAACTTGATTTTTTGCTGAGATTATTTTTAAGCATTGTTTATTGGGTAGATAGCACACATTGGAAGGAATCTCCCATGGCTCATCATACCACATACCTCAATTCTAAAGAATCTAAAAACTGTCAAGTTACTGATAATCACTTAAGTCAATAAAATTCCAAAAGGATAAAATACAATATGCATTATTATGAAGATATTGACATTGCTTATCTACTATTTCTTCAGCCTAATGCTCTTCCAACTGAGCTATTTTGGCTCAGCTATACCTACCATTTCTGAGCATCATGTATAGTACCATGGAAAATACTCTGGCCACAGACTCATGAGACTATGCAAAACAGGGCAGAGATTAAACTATGGCCTGAACACTGGCACCAAACTCAACTCCTTCACTCCAGTGCCATTCCTTTTGTACATACCTTGACCATTTGCACAACTCTAAGGAGCTCTAATTTATCCAAGAATGCCATTTTCCATTCTCATGGACTATTCACTACCTAGTAATATTTTATCTCTTATAGAGTATAGAGAATAATCAGGCAAGCAAAACCAAATGCACTTAATTTCTGTTCATTTTAGTCTACAAAATGTAGACTGAAAAGAGTAGGAAGATGACACAAACAAAACTTACATATGACAAATAGTATTTCAGAGCATGAAAGGAAAATATGGTTTCTATTAACTGAGACGATCATAACTTTATAAATGTACCTGTGCTTTTGAAATATTATAGTGTCCTGGACCTGGAAGAGCTTTTTCAGTGTTGGAGGCAACAGTAAAAGAACTTTCTCTGGCACTCCATGAGAGAAATGGGGCATAGCCACCTGGTATAATAAAATCATACCACTGTCAGTTAAGATAGGATTCCAAAGATATCTGAGAAAAGAGACTTGAAACACATGTAATCACATAGTTACCTCAATGTTAAGACTATGGTTTTAGAATTAGTCGCTAGTCACAGAAGTTAATGCATTAAAATTTTCTAATGTAAACTCACAAACATATAGAGAGATATAAATATATAATGGGCATAAGAACCTGTAGAAGAACTAACCTTATTGAATAACAGAAAAAAAATACCTAGAGGAAATAAAAGACAAAATAATATCTTTTTTATTCTAAGCAAATTTGCTTGGGATAAAAATGACATTTATATTTTGCTAATGAAAAATATTTCTTCCTCAGAAGGCCTATGCTTTTAAAACAGCATATGTTATTTTGAAAGTAATAAATATGAACTTACAGAGACAGCCTAGATAGAAAGAAGTTGAAGTAGTTGTACAGAAAATAATTGCCTGGACAATATAAAAAGTTAATGTGACTTTTCTATGGAAGTATTATTACATCTCCACAGGAAAATTTAAATGATAGTTCCATAAAAGGAACGTTTCTTCTTATTTATAGCTGTGTGCCAAATGTTTAAAGTTAAGATGACCAACTATTCAAGCTTCTCAGGACATGGAACTTCAGTGTTTAAACTAGGGTAGTCCTAGATAATTCAGTATGGTTGGTCATCTTAGCGTTGTGCTCTACATAGTAAATAACAAAGAATATCTGATACTCTAAATTACACCTACAGGCATTCATTCAACAATATTGAGTGCTTTGTTACATATATGTATGATAGTGAGGGTACAATAATGAGTAAAAAAAACTGGCTTCAAATAGTGGATGAGGCAAATAAAAATGCTATAAATGCCACCAATAATTAAGATATAAACACCAATGAAGGTTCTGGAGAATTGGGGCTAGTGGAGTTTGAGTTGGAACATCTAGATAAATTGACATGTGAGGTGACAAATATAAACAATAAATCAAAATGACAGATAAAAAAATTTAAGAATTTAAGAGGAAAGAAATGAATTCAGTTTGGGAGATATTGAGTTTGAGGTGCTGACAGCAAAAGATAAATCAAACTGGCATGAAGCAATAAAAGTCAGACTGTTGTGAGAAAGAGGGAATGGGCTTAAAAGGAAAGTTTCACAGCCACAGTGATAGACACACAACACAGAGCATTATTCACAAAGAAGATAGAAAGAAGTAGGACTTTAAAACAGGTAGTCATCTTCAGTGGCAGTATCTACACAACAATCACACACACATATTAATCATTTTAACTTAAATAAGAACAAGCTACATTTCTTGATATGGTCTCCCAGTATTTTAATTAGCAAATAAGGTCATCATTGTTGACCTAAGCACATAGACTAATATATAGGCTCATGTACCCTTAATGTTTTTGAGGCAGATAAAGCTCCATGAAAGAAGGAATCTGTGAAAGATAAGGTCACTCTACTTAGAATGAATATAGAGAAATAATATCCAGCTCATAGGGAGTGCTATTTATTTTATAAATAAACTTAAGCAATGAAATACTTAGCACAATAGTATCAAGAGCAGTCACATCATTAGAGGAATATGTTTTGTCACAGTATGCTAGGTCAGTTGTCTCTGGGGAATTTTTGCTTTGATAATTGTGAGAAAATCAAATACAATCTTCAATAGTGCTGAATCCAACATCACTTCCAGTCATGAAAGCAGAGCAGCTCAGACCTGTCCCTTCTGAGTTGCAAATCATAGATAGAAGAGATCCTCCCAGCCAAGTGACCTTAAGCTAAGGTAAAGGAGCTACATACTAAAGTAGAGAGTAAGAGGATTGGCCAAGTGGCTAAGAGAAAAAGTTAAGGGAGAAAGGTTGGGAACAAATATCTGTATTTAAAGTTCCAAGGACCTTAGCTCTTGTAAAGTTCAATGTAATGTGTAAACGATATAAAGTCCCAACATTAGTTCTTGCCACGTCATACTCTGCAAAATCTACCTGCCACTTAGTTGAAATAACAGTCTAGTGTATTAGAGATCTAAAAGACAGGTGATGTAGATATACTTAGAGATGGTAGCTTCTTGTAAACTAACATAGGTTAACAAAGTATGATCCTTTAAAAGTTTAAGAAGGGCCTGTTTACATGTTACTGTCTTCTAAGCAGAGTGAGCAATGAGGTATAGTTAATTGTGCTATTTTGGTTCATAAATCTTCATTTTATTTAACATTTTTTAAATTGAGATCTTTATGTTATATAACTGGGCTAACAACTGGGAATAAGGGAGTAAATAATGATTTCTGTCTGGAAGCAGTTCACATTATAGTGGGGCTTCACTTGCTTTTACAGTAATTACAACACATAATCAAAGTGTTTTTATAAAGAGTCATTAAAAAAACAGAAAAAAACCTGAAAACAAGTTGAGTCAGAGAACTTCATTTGCATTGATTCTCAAAGAATGAATAAGAAATAACCAGGAGGAGGAAGACAGGGCCTCCTGGGCAAATGTATCAACAGGTGGAAAGGCACAGAAATGAGAGAGCATGAACTTATAAACATTACAAAGCTGGAATTGCTGAAATAGAAGTCAAGGAGAAAGTATGGGTCCCTAGAAATAATTAGTTAAGTGGGAGACCAAGTCAGAGATGAGAACAAGAACTTTATTAACATGGCAAGGCCTTCACATGTTTGATCTTGGTTTTACAAGTTTCTTTTGTGTTTCTTACGAATACTATTATCTTACAACGATCGTTCTAGCCACAAGGAGATGTGCAGACTGAAACTGAAGAAATGAGGACTTGAACTAATTCAGGGGCACCTGAATGGACAGAGAGAACCAATCTGAGGATGCCTGTCAAGTTCACAGGGTCTTCAGGATCAACTGGAATGGTCTGGCCAGGAAGTAGGCTAACATGGTTCCTTAGCTGAAACCATCCAAATGGCAGCACCCAAAATGATAACAACAGTAAGTGGCGAGGCTGAAGACCTTCCGGTCAGGAGAGGAATCACCTTGGGGGGGGGAGGGGGGATCACATCTCCAAAGCTGATTTTCACCTGAGAGTGATCAGAACAGGAATGAATAACCATCGAGGACGGAGATGAATGATGATGTGTGATGAGCAGTAAGCGAAATGGAAAACGCAGCGTGTGGCTGGTTTTCAAATACTGCAAAAGTGACACATGTCTGATGTGAATGGATGTGTCCGATGCACAGGAGGGCGAAGCGGATGGGTACCCACAAAACCGCAGGGGCCACAGACACACGGGCTCGGGTGTGGCGAAGCCAACCGAGGCAGGGCTGGAAGCCCTGCACCTGAGTCCCTTCCCCGCCTGCTTCGTGTGCTGTGCCTGGGCCGTGACCGCCACCACCTGGCCGTGCGCAGGCGGCGCGGGGAGGCGCCCGGGCATCTTACCTGCGTCCCGCGCCTTGGGGAAAGGCACCTGGTAGGACCCAGGGCCCACATGCGCCTCGGTGCTGCCCCCCTCGGCCAACCTGAGCAAGCGCGGCGCGCGGTCGTACATCGCGGCGGCGGGCGGGGCCGCGAGGCTAGCACCCGGCCGCTAGGGGCGCTGCGGCGCCACCGCGGGCCGACGCCGCTCCGAGGCCTGGGGAGGATCCGCGGGCGCCCGGGGGCCGGCCTAGGCTCCAGCTGCCTCCCACCATCCTGGTGTCACATGGTCCCAAGGGCGATTTCTAGCCGTAGCGTACAGTGGGTGGGGCAGGGGGAGTCGGGACACACACGCAGAGACACCGAGACCTCCGGCCCACCACCCGACAGCGCAGGCGCCACCCCTGGGAGGGACTTTTAGGAAGCCTGCGCCCCCCCCGACCGGCTGCTTCCGGCCTTGGCTCCGCCCATTCCCCCGCCCCGGAAGTCCGAGGACTCCTCCTTCTTCCCCCCCCCACCCCCGAGGTGGGAGGTTGTCCCTGACGCATGCGCGCCGAGGGCGGGCCTTCCCAGCTGGCCCGCCGCCCGGGGCTCTCCCTGGAGCTGGAGCAGAGAAGGTGTGCGGGGCTCCGGTGTGCGGGGCTCCGGGGCTGACTGCTTTACCATGCCAGAACAGCCCTAAACAACACCGGTGAGGGAAGAGGCCCTGTGACCCAAAGTGGCAGAGTTCTAGCTTTGAGCACCCAGGGACAGCACCCAGGCCCTAGGTTCGAGTCCCACGCCCAACAAAAATAAAATTAAATGCAGAATAAATCCAGATGTTGACCTTATTTCACCACCTAGCAAAGACAGCTTGTCTATGTACTCTACCTAGAATTTATTCCTATTTTTAAAACAAAAACTGTGAGATGAGGTTGAAGGTTAACTTATCAGCTTCCCCTGTCACTCTGAGTGACATGGAAGAAGCTCTGAACCAAGCCTGGTTGAGCCCTGGGCTGTGGTTCGATCCCAACACTGGCAAAATAAAAACAATTGAGAGGAAAGGGGAAAGATCAGGATTCACAGCTGCGAAAGAGAAGAGCGGAGGCTCAAATCAGAGCCTAGGTTAGGCTAGTCAGGCTGGCCCTCCACTCCTGTTATATACAGCTACCTGAGCACCACAGGAAATGCACCTCTGATTTTGATCCAGCCATCATCCAAACTGCTCACCACTGGAAGCTGTGAAGCCTGAGCAAAATACAACAGTTTTAGGTTTGGATTCCATTTTGTCGGGGAAATGTGTCAGCAACTCCCCTTGATCCCCTTGGATCCAAATTCCAGGAACAACCCTCTACAGTAAATTCCACTACAGCGAATCAGCAGATAACAGGAAAAAACCAAAGTTCCAGATGTCCTGCAAGTTAAAGACGCTGGGTCGCAGCTCAGACCATCTGCTTGAACCAGCCAATCCCCAGTACCTGGTTGGTCCTGCCACTGGTTAATCATCCTTTAGAATTATTTTATGATTTTCCCGCGGTGTGATATGATTTGTTAAGTGTTGCAATGACGCATAGAAGTCCCTAAAAAACCCCTACTAGAGGAAGGGTCAGGCTCACAATTTCTGACCTGCTGCATCAGAGAAGGTTTATGAGTCTGGCTCAACCCTGGTGGTCTTTGGGAGGTCTACGGCCTGGTACATCAGAAGCAACTTCAGGTGCTGCTGTTATTACATGCCAGGCTACATGGATCCATCTCTGTTTAGAAACATGGATGAGTATTGACAACATTGTGCTAAATGAAATAATAAATAGATAGATAGATGCATGATTCCACCATACATAGTCGCTAAAGAAATCAAAGACATAGAAACAGAAAGTAGAATGGTAGTTGCCAAGAACTGAAGAGGTGGGAAGTGGGAATTTTTGTTTAAGGGCTAAAAATTTTTAGTTTTGAAAAATAAAATCATCTGGACACTCATTACACAACAATGCGAATACAGTATTTAAGTGTATACTTAAGAATAGGTGCTGCATGTGAGTGGCTAATGCCTGTAATACTGTCTCCTAAAGAAGCTGAGAGCAGAAGGATCATGGTTCAAGGTCAGCCTGGGCAGAAAATTTAGTGAGACGCTGTCTCAAAATATGTAGCAAAAGACAGGGTTGGAAGCATGGCTCAAATATGAGTGTGTCAATCTAGCAAGATAAGTTCTTGAGTTCTTACTCCAGGGATGTCAAAATAACTGCTTAAGAAGTTACACTTTAAACTTCAAGAAGTTGCATACTTTTTACTGTGAGTAAAAATAACTAACGAAGTTCATTGTGTGTTTTGTGAATTCAAAGGAATTTTATAGCTCTGTAGACATGGATATACAGTAACTAATTCAACTCCCCAAAACACAAGTTAAATAGTAATTTGGGAAAAAACAATACAAGTCACAAGGTGTTAGGTGCATGTTTATATATGTTACTAGTTAACTAGGACTAACAAACCCCGCCAGAAAACTTACACAAATGATGTTGATATGTCCCATATATAACATTAGTAAAAAGGTTCAGAAATGTTTAACACACTTGTGGTTGCAAAGAATTCATGTTTCTGCACAATATATTACAAAAGCATTCAAGGGTTTGCCCCTTTTTTGTTTCCACCAACACATTTTTTTATCCAAAAATTAAGAGCCAGAACAATTAACTCACACCTGAACAATTACCTCACACCTGAAATTCTAGCTACTCAGGAGACTGAGCTCTGAAAATTGAGGTTTGAAGCAAGTCTAAACAGAAAAGTTCATAGGACTCCGTCTTAAAATTAGCCTGCAAAATGCTGGACTGGAGGCATAGGTAGAGGACCAATCATGAAAAAAAAACAAAAAAAAGCCAATTGAAACCATGAGACCCTAAATTCAAGCCCTAGTATCTGCAAAGGGAGGGTTCAGGGAGAGAAAAACAGGAAGAGAGAGTATGAAAGACAATTAGTTACATCTCCAAAAGTAATCAGACAATTCCAAATTCATACAAACCCAAACATGGACATTGAATAGAGTTTTATATCAATCAAATATAGCTACTAGCGCGTGCACACGCACACACACACACAAATGTTTTCTCTGTCTTTTTCCTTATATTTCCTATTTATCCTAATGAAATATTTTCTTCATCTGATTGAAACACATGCAAAACTCTGCCCCCTGGAGGTCAGAATAGAACTTGTGGAGGCAATAAAGTAGACCTTAAGAAAGGCAGGGAAGAGAAGAAACTTCAGTCTCCACGATATCATCCCTTCCAACCATCACCAACCAAGGATAGCATTCAGTATCATTCCTACTCCTCTCCCCACTAAAACACACAGTCTGGGGCTGGGAAGGTGGCTCAGTGGTAGAGCGCTTGCCTTGCATGCATGAGGCCCTGGGTTCGATTCCCCAGCACCACATAAGCAAAAAGAAGCTGGAAGTGATGCTGTGGCTCCAGTGGTAGAGCACTAGCCTTGAGCTGGAGAGCTGAGGGACAACACCCGGCCAGGCACTGAGTTCAGGTCCCACAACCGGACCCCCCAAAAAAGAAATGCCATACCAGTTCCTAGAGAATGACTAGGAAATTTTGATTTTGCTCTTAGAATATTCTTTCACTCGTTATATTCTTTTTCTCTAATATTAGGCCTCTGCAAATAGATTTCTAAATGTATTTTAATTAGTTACATTTAATATTCTAGACACTGAAAAGTCTATCTTAAAGAAAGTACAAGTTGTTTTTTTGTAAAGGACACTAGATGGCACAATTTCACCAATTTATGCTAATAAGTTACTTAATGTCACATTAATTCTCATCTAAAATGTAGATGTAGCTTGGGAAACCTACATAACAAGTAATAGAAAAGTTCTTGAGAATATAATATTTCTAATACATTATATTTTATGACTTTATTCATGAGCCCAGTAATGACAATTTTAAAACTAGACAAGTAATTTTAGTAATCCAAAGAAAATAATGGTTTCTCAATAATAAAAGTTTTAAACATATATATAATAAACTTTAATTTGTATTAAGAGTATATTTTATAATATGATTAACATATAGTAAGACTATAATGAAATTTAACGATCTGATTTCATTGGCAATGAATGCTTCAAAATCTGGTATTAGAGCAGGCACTTACTGATGGCTCACACCTGTAATCCTAGTTACTTAGTAGTCTGAGATTTGAGGATCATAGTTCAAAGCCAGCCTGGGCAGGAAAGTCTGTGAGACTCTAATCTCGAATAAACCACCAGAAAACTGGGAGTGGCACTGTGGCTCAAGTAGTAGAGCGCTACCCTTGAGCTGAAGAGCCCTGGGACAGCTCCTAGACCCAGAGTTCAAGCCCCATGACCAAAAAGAAAAAGAAAAAAAAAGTAGGCTCACAGCAGTCTCAGATCTAATATATTCACGAATGTTAAATCTCTGAGAATTATTTATAGTTCAGAATTTATTTTGGGGGGGGGGTTTGGATCCGGTTGTTCGGCCTGAACTCTGGGCCTGGGTGCTGTCCCTCAGCTCTTCAGCTCAAGGCTAGCGCTCTACCACTTGAGCCACAGTGCCACTTCTGGCTTTTTTATTTTTTCTGCTTATGTGGTGCTGAGAAATCAAACCCAGGGCCTCATGCATGCAAGGCAAGCGCTCTAGCACTGAGCCACCTTCCCAGCCCATAATTCAGAAATTTTTATACACTCTGAAGCTACATTTGAACATGTAAGATAGACAGCACATCAACCAACCTAGGAGAATGTATACCTCACCTGGACCAGAGTCTGCCTCTGATTCAGACTCTTAAAGGAATCCTGCCTTGTCAATTTGGTGAGATCTTCTTATAGCTGGTACAACCCGCAGTCAGTGCTAAATCCTTACTTCAGACGACCTAAGAGGAAAGGGCACTTATGTAGATTCTCATACCCAATTTAAAAAAATTCTCTTTACAATAAACTCATCATCTTGGATCAAGATAAAGCTCACATAGCCGGTCGCCGGTGGCTCACACCTGTAATCCTAGCTACTCAGGAGTCTGAGATCTGAGGATCGCAGCTCAAAGCCAGCACAGACAAGAACAGCTGTGAAACTCTTATCTCCAATAAACCACTAGAAAACCGGAAGTGGTGCTGTGGCTCAAGTGGTAGAGTGCTAA